GCACAAATTAAGTTTACAGATTCTGTAAAGCAATTCATCCTGCTCTGAATCTAATGCCAGTAATTTTTCAAGGAAGTCAGCAAAATGCAGCCCAAGAAGGAAAAAACTGCCATAATTTTTTTAAACTCCATTGTTTTTATTCAATCATCTACTGAGCTGTGACTAAATCATTTGCTCTTCACATTTAATTTTTAATTTTGTAGTATTCTCTCCCCCCAAATGAGGTCAAATCCTAAATCCTTGTACCCTAACATCCCAGCTGTACATCCACAGAAGAGGTTTGTTTCAGTAAAAATGATTACTGGTGTCTATAATAGAATTGTAATAACTCAATACTGTTTTATAAATTTTTGATTCACTCTGCATTTTTTATTTGACAGCTTGCCAAGTTCCAGTTTTTATCTGATCATCTTTGCATCAATAATACATGAGGCTGAGATCTTCTGAAAAGAGGATACCTTTTTTCCCCCCTCACTGAATGCTTTGCTTTTGCCAGCAAAAATATTGATTTGGATTTAATAATCTGTAGTTCTTTTGGTTTGATCACACTTAGCAGGAGACCCCGAAAAACCATGGCCACATTTCCGCCAACATGGAATCAATTGCTCCTCTCTAATAAATGCAATCATTGAACACCTGATCCATACTATTGCTTGTTATGTGTAATTGATTAAAGGTTTGACACCGTTGGATTTCAATGGCCCCAGGTTTCCCAATTCAGATCCTCTCAACCAAAAAATGACAATCCACAAAGCTGATGCCACAGAAAGGTGATGTTCCTGATTATAATTTCTCATCGCCTCCATCAGCATACATTTTGTCACAATTCGCTCTAAATGATCACCTTGGTGTTGCTACTCTTACTCTGTTCTTGCTTCCAGCTGTTTATGTTAAAGACCATGATGTGAGTGCAGTCCACCCCATCACCTGCCTCCGGGGGTGTCATGAATAATCAGTGTTAGGAACCTGGAGGGTCCTCTAACTATACCTCTTCATCCATTGCCTCATTTCCCATCTGCAAGAAGCAAAACTAAGAGGATCTTTTAAAACATAGCACTCCTGTCTCAAATAAAAGATAAAATGCTGGTAAGAGAACCACTATTCTCTCATGATGCAATGAAATCAGAATCTCCAAGGTGTGATGTGGGCATCGGTATTTTTAAAAGCTTCCCAGGCTGTTTCGATGTGCAGTCAAGGCTGAGATGTGGGTTCTAACCTCAAACTGTGCCATTCTTACATAGTTGGGTACCAGCCTCATGGGTTGGTTAGAAATGCACAAAGCTACTGAATCAGGTTGCTGCTCCTGAACTCGTTCTGCTGAATCAGAATCTGTATATTAGCAAAATCTCCCCGGGGATTTGTAGGCAGATTAGAGTTTGAAAGCATTGGCCCAAACCACTACTCTAAGAAAATCGCCAATTTAGGCAAGGCAATTACTAAATAGATTGGGAACTTTCAGTGCTTTTAAAGGAAGTGGGGTGTAGCCATAGGCTCTATTGTCAGGCAGTCCTGGGTTTGTGCCCTGGTGTTCTGCAACCATCCCAGGCCCTGTAGGTTCATTGTCAGTTCAGGCAGCTTAAAAGGGAATATTGGAGCCCTTGGCATCATCCTCGCAGGTTTTCTAATAACACACAAGGAAACAAGCCAGCAGGGAGACAGCAACTTGGTTCCCTCTGAGAATTTCTATGTGCTCTTTTCTCTCATAGCTGTTCTCTGTTGCTCTCCGCTACACTGTCCTCTGCCACCGCCTTTATATCCTCAGGCTCGGGGGGCCCGCTTATGCACGCCCACACGGTATTCCAGCTGTACATCATCAGGCATGCATACCCCAAGCCCATGCTCCCCAGCGCCTCCTGCATTCAAGGCTGCAGGTGATAGCCACAGAGGCCAGAAGTGCAAAAGCCTGAGCATCTTCATTTACCCTACACCTGCTTACCCCAGTTACTAGCCACATCTCTAGGTGAGTAGCTAAGCTTCAGTTTGCTCATTTGGATAATTGCTTGCTACATAGGATTATTGTGAAAATTAAAAAAAAAAGACCGCATGTAAAGTGCCCAAGACAATGTCAGGTGCATTGCAAGCAAGCCATATATATTAGTAGTTAATACTAATATGAACAACAAAGCTGTACTCTTTGGAGACCTGCACAGTTATGCAGATGTCTAAATGCAGATATAATTATTTTCTTATTTATCCATTTACCCTTAAAAGCCAATTGAGTCTCTCATGGAAGTCAGCCCTAATGTCTACCTTGCACTTTGAGCTCACCCTTGATCCCACTCATCATTTACAGGGCGGGCAGCATGAAGGTTAATGGGCAACTTGAAAAGGGGTGCCGAGGCTAGCTCAGTCAGCACGCCTTTCCTAGCACAGGTGTCTGGGTGACTTCAGCTTAATTTTCCTTGGAAGCCACTGTCCTCCTGTGTAAAAGACCTCACAAAGCCAGCTTCCATGTGGGGCTAACTCTGTTCACCTAAATTTGGCCTGATTTGGAAAGCCTTCTTGGCTCTTTCCCACCAAATCCAAACAGGGACGGCAAATTTTATTAAAATGACGAGGGCCCATCCTGTTCTGTGCTCTGAACCATTGAAGGGAGCCAAAAATGTCCCCTGGTGTCCATAGAAACATTGTTCTTATTTTTCAGAATTAATCCAACTGAATTTGCAAGGCCGCATCCCCTCCATCAGAGCTGCAGACGGCCAGGACAAAGAGCTGTTTTGATGTTCCCAGCTGGGAACCCTGCCCTCAGCAAATACAGTTGATATAAATAAATGGTCTCTTGCCTGCCTACATTCATGCCCATCTGTTTGGAGGGCATGGTGCCCAATCAAAAGTTGCCTAGACGCTCACCAGGGGCACTGGTGCCAAGGAACGACAATTTCATGGCAGCCTGCCTGATGCTGAGAGTGCCATCTTTTCAGTGGTGGGTTCTCATCCTGGACCAGAATGGGAGTGCTGGCACTGTGTGTTTCCTTACTGTTGATCACACCTGTTGACAAGGCAGTGCCAAAGCAGAAGAGGGAGAGAAAGGAAACTGCTGTATAGGAGCATCTTTGATCTTCTAGCGCCTGGTGAGCCTATTAAGGCAGAATCTAATTAAGCAGAGAAATCTCTGCCCATGGATGTTCGGATAGGGCCTGATATTGGCTATTCAAACTTTACTTGGCTTGGTGGCCAAGGTAGAGGGCAGGTAGCTCCCAGCTGGCCACTGCGTCTCTATTTTACATAGGAGGTATAACAGGACACTGGTCTTTGATGACACCAGGAGCCAAGTAAACCAGGGGAAATGAATCATGCTCAGACCAGCCCACTATCCCCCTGTAGCTCCCAATTTTCCACCACCCACTGGCAACTATAAGACCCAATGCATACAAGTCAAAGGATATAAAACCAAGGAACTGACTTTATTTTGTATTGGCTGAGCTTGAAAAGGAAATGAAGTCATTCAGGGGAAAGTGTGATCTGGGGACATTTTCATGCTGCTAAGATGAGTAAACTCCCTATGAATTTGTTAAACACAATTGGAAATAAGTTCAAGTAGTCAGATCACTAGGTGAGCATGCAAGGGGCCAGGAGAGAATCCTCACAGCAAAAGCAGGGATATTACGATTCCCACGCTGTGGACCCCTTAGGACTAAAACCAGTATCCTCAGCCACAAATATTGTGGGTTTCAGGAATGAGTAATCTTTATTGATGAGGAGACAGGTATGCTGCCTGGTCCAGTGGAAGGAAAACAGGAGAAATTGAGAAATCGCTGACCTAAAGAATCAAAACAACATGCTTTGTTTACAGTTAAAAGGGCATTTGTAGTTCAGAATTTGGCTTTGATCCTCAATTTGCATGGCCCTTATTTAACTTTAAATATTCTCTCAATTCAACTTTGACTAATCTTTGTGGTCAGCCTTTCTTTGTGGTCGGACTAATCTTTGCACAATAGTTGACTAACCTTTGTGGTAATCTTGTGGCAGGACATCCATCAGGATGTCCATGTGCCAATCCCTGGAAACGAGAAGGATGTTACCTAACAGGGAACTTGCAGGTGTGAATTAAATGAAGCATCTCATGAGGCAGGAGATTATCCAGGTTATCAGAGTGGGCCTGATGGAATCAGGAGGGTCCTTGTCAGAGCAGAAGGCAGAATGAGGAGGGCTGCAGAGCCTTGCATTGTGTTTTGAAAATGGAAGAAGAGGCTAAGCCAAGGAGAACAAGGGGCCACCGGAAGCTGAAAATAGCAGGGAAACCAACTCTCTTCTCAGTTTCCAGAAGATACCAGTCCTGTAGACACCTCGGTTTCAGCCCAGTAGGACTGATTTTGGAGTGTTTATGATTCCTCCAGGATTGTAAGAGAATAAATATGTTTTGTTTGGAGACACTATGTTTGTGGTGGGAAACTAATGTAATCCTTACCCTTTGTGGCAGGCTCAGGGTGGCCCAAGATGGGAGCGTTCTGGCTGCACAGAGCTGGAAGCCATATTGACCAGTCTGGTAAAACCCACTCTTGGCGGTTGCACCTCACCCCACCCACCCCAACCCATATAGCCTCTTTTTTTTTTTTCCCTCTTGAATCCAAAGACCATAATAAAATCCAATATTTTTGTTTTCTCTTTATCGGCATTGTGCAACTCTACATCAGAAAAGAACAATTCCCCATCACAACTCAGGTCCTCTCCTTAAATGTTCAATATTTGGTCTACCATGCCAAACACCACCCCAAATAGCCTACATCCAGACAGTGCCAGTTCAATCTGCAAACACCCTGTTCCTAAAGGCAAGGAGCAGTTTTAGCATCACAATTCAGTTAGATTTGATTAATATTAATATGTGCCTACTGTGCGCATGCACTAGCATTACATATTTTACAACTGGAATATCTCCCCAAGCAAGAATGGGTTAAGCAAGAGGTGAGGGATGCATGCGCAATGTAGGGACACATGCACAATGTGAAATAGCTGCTATTGTCAGAAGTTTAATCCTTCACTTATTTCTCTCAACGACTAACCTGATGCTGTAGGGACTCTGCTGTCCCAGCATGTTAGCAGCCCTTCTGTAGACGAGTCCATCATTCCATCTCAGCAGATAGATTGTTTGCTGTTTGCCTGCCTGCAATGCTCTGATCTGCAGAAAACACACACCAGAATAAGAATCAGATTTTACCTGTGGTTAAATTATGTTTGGGCCAGATTGAATCTATTTTTTTTTTTTAATTTACAGTAGGTCTCGTTTTTATTCCTTCTCAGATGCAACCTAACACACACAAAGAGTATGTCTGCACAACAAGGATAAATAATAAATTTGGGTAAATTCATGGACTCCAAAGTGACAAAGATCCTACAAAAGGAAAAAATGCTAATTTAATGGCTTTGTTTTCCCTTCAAAGAAATTAAATATATTTAAACTTTACCTTTTCTTTCCAGAAAAAGTTTGAGAAATCTGGAATCTGTGAGTTCTTCTTTTAAAAAAGTCTCTATTGAGTACAATTAAAGATTTTTTTTCCAAGTTGGTTGAACTTTTCCATGTTTACTATCAACTAGTATATTTCAACATGCTTTTCCACTAATGGACATCCAGGGAAAATTACATCCATCACTTCTTAATCTAATACTGGGACCTTACACTGCCAGGGTGTTCTTTTAACAGTGAAAGCAAATAAAAATGTTTTTCTTAGCACAGTATCTTTTACCCAATATTATTTTCACTTTATAGCTTGCAATCTGACTTAGTAATAATTCAATTTTCTATTATGATGATAGCTTCAATATTTGAATGCCTATCAGTCTGAAATGAAAGGCTCTCAGTAGAATTTAATAGACCAGAGAAGAAAATAATCAAAATGCTGTTTATTCATTCACTATCAACAAACATTTATTGAGCATTTACTTGCTCTTTTCTCCTCCCTCCTTTGTTGTTTTCTTCATCTTTCTACCCTACACAATGGGTATTGCATTGAGGAACTGATAATTCAAAGATGAAAAAACAGAGCCCCATCCTTAAGAGCTTAGAGCTTGCTGAACAGTCACAGGTGATGAAATTGCTCTGTTATGGATGCCTAAAAGAGGTTCAGTGGGGTTCAGGAGGGAGAACTCTCTGTGTATGAGGACAGGAGAACAGGCTTCACAGGGGAGGTAATGCTTAAATGGAGCTTTGAGTAGGAGTTCAACAAGTGAACAGGGTTGACATGTATTAATGTTCAATTTATGTAACAAATCACAAAAATTTAGTGTTTTAAAAAACAAGTGTATCTCTCACAGTCTCTCTGGGTCAGGAGCCCAGGAATGGAATGGCTATGTTCTCTGCTCAAGGCTGTCCAAGGCTGTACAAGAGATATCAGATGAACTGCATTCTCATCTGGAGTCTTGAGTGGGGAAGAATCCATGTTCACGCTCATTCAGACTGTTGGCAGTTTTCATTTATTTCATGTCTTTGGTGAGACTGAGAGCCACATAATTTTACTGACTATTAGATGGAGGCCATCTTATAATTCCTAGATCTGCCCATATTTTGTTGTTATGTATTCTTCTCTAACATAGTTTCTCTCTACCTTAAACCAGCAAGGAACATTGCTAGTTTTGTCTACCAAGACAGAGTCTTAGGCCTCCCTGGTGGCGCAAGTGGTTAAGCACCGTACTATGAAGCAATCTGAAGCCTGAAGCCTCTGCAGCACGAGTTCAATCCCTGGCAGGCCGGCCAGGGAGCAACCCACATGGTGCAGTAGACCTCTGCTGTCTCGCCCGCTGCTCCCCTCAGCAGTGTATTTCAGTCAGTCTGCCTGTTCTGCTCCCCACGATGTCTTTGGTGAATTCTCCCCCGCCCCACACCTCTGGCCTGTACCCCAGCTCTTGTATGCATAAATAAATAAATCTTTATTTATTTCTTATATTATTATATTCTATAAGACTGAGTCTTATAGAATGTAACACAATCATGGGTGGATATCCATTCACCTTCAATATATCCTACTAAAATCATGGGTCTCATCGGCACCAAGGGGAGGGGTTTACTCAAAGGCCTAAACATGAGGAGGAGAAACTGGGGTGAGGGGAGGGATCACTTTAGGGTCTGTCTGCCACATGGAATAATATGGACTAACGAGATGAATGGGAGAAATAGATAAGAGAGCATGTAGGGAATGATGAATGGTTTCATATGTCACAATAGAATGCAGTTCTTACAGAAGAGGGACTCAACAGGCAGGTAATAATCACTGTTATATTGCTTACTTCTTATATGTACGTCTTTATGTATATACATACATATAGATATTTAATCTTTTAATCCTTACAAAAAAGTTCATGAAGTGGATATTATCACCATTAACAGACAAAAGAACTGAGTTTAGCAAAGTCAGGTCACTTCACCAAGATGATAGAGCTTATAAATGTTGGCGATGGATTCAAATTGTCTGAGTCTAGGTCCATAACCAGCCTGCCACACTGCTCTGTTAAGTATTGAGGTCTGCGGGGAGCTTGTGATGAAGGGTCTTGTTAAGGAATTTGAATTTATTCCAGGAGCAGTGAGGAATCACTGTAAGGGGTGGAGTCAGGGGCTTGAGTGTCATATGTCAGACTGCCATCCTATAAACAGTAAGGAGGAGGCATTGGGCCAGAGACTCTGGTGAAGGTGGGGGAAGGTGATTGACTAGAGGCATGTAGGGGAAGTGGGGTTGGGAAAAATGGAACAGATAAGAAATCTTTGGAAAATATATATGTTTTAACTCAGTTTGTGTGTGTTGCCATACAATGGGAAACTTGAGGAAGATGAACATGTTTTTAGCAACAGCCAGTTTCCTGGCCTGGATGATCTGGCATGTAATAGAGCATGAGACTCATTCATTAAGTTCCAGGTGACTGGAGGGCAGGGGCTACATTTCTCTTGTTCAGTGTGGTATCCAAGGGCCCACACAATGCTTTGCCTATAGTTAGAAGAGTAAACACTCACTCTGCTTGCTACATGCCAAACACTCCTCTAAGGACTTTGCTTATACTGACTTGTTTAATTCTTACAACATCTTTATGAGATTTGCGGTATTAGAGACATTTTATAAGAAACAACAGTGGTACAGTGTGGTTAAGTAACTTGCCCAAGTTTACAGAGTTTGTAGGTACAAGTCAGGACTTGCAACTCAGGGTCGCTACAGCCTCCACATGCTTAAATACCACACTACGTCACAAAACAACCCAAAAGTTACAAAATAGGCATTCAATGATATTTGTCAAATCTTGTTGTGTGCCCTCATAAAAACAGAATAAATAATTAAAATAGAATGTGACAAACCTGTCAATAACCTTAATGGGCTTGGAATATGTCTCCATTATCACATTAAGAAATTTGTTCTAAGGATGTGTTGAAATGTCTTTCTCTTCCACTACTGTTAGTCTTTCAAATATAAAGAGCTGGTTTCTATTCTAGATATTTCCACTGTGTCCTTTGCAATGTAGTCAATAACCATTCATGGCATTAATTACTTTCTTGAATATTGTTTTCATAATTTACACTTTTTTTTAGACAATAGATTTTTTTTTTTTTAAGATTGATTTATTTATTTATACAAGCACTGGGTACAGTCAGAAGCACGGGAGGGTGAGAGAATTCACCAGAGCCAGAGCAGGGAGCAGAGCAGGCAGAAGGACCGAAGTACACTGCTGAGGGGAGCAGCGGGCAGCAGGAGAGGTCTGCGCACCATGTGGGACCCTTCTCTGGTGGCCGGGGAGCAGCCGGGAATCGAACCGGCAGTGCAGAAGCTGCTGGCAGCTTCACAACCCAGCGCTCAACCGCTGCACCACCAGGGAGGCCCCATAATTTACACTTTTTAAACTGTGTTTACTACATTATTCAGTGCTGACATCTGTAAATCAGTTAGGGTGGTGGGTCCTGTTATTTCCTTTTTAATGGCTTGGCTATCAGGACAGAGGAGAATGACCAAATTGAGCCCCAAAATATAATTGAGAGCACGCATCACTTTTCTCTTTATAATGACTTTAATCTTGGCTGGAATAATGGGAACTAGTGTGACTGCCAAGCTCTAGGTTGAAATACTCAATTTAATGGCAGTGATTCCCGGTAATCATTTCTTTTGACAAGCACATCAGGAAAATAACAAGGACATGAGAGCATGAAGTACACTGAAAACTAAAAAGACAAAGGCAGATGTCATGACTGATATTATATCATCAATTAATTAATTAATTAATTAGATGACCGTCACAGAATATAGTCTAAAGAAGAGCTTAATTTATTGGACAAATAAAAAGCAAGGGAACAGACCATGACTGACATCCATATTCAACCCTCACATGTCCACTTCTGTCACTCTGACCTCTTACTCACTATCAATTCAAAATAAATTTAGGAAAATAACCCTTATCATCAGTGTGACTTTGAAATCATTCTACAGGCAAGATTAATCGTCTTTGTTTCTCCCGTAAAACTTCACCATTATCTTTTTCTTATCTATATCCATTGTCTCATTTTCTTCCATCATTTAAAGCATATTTTTATCCATTCTTTTCCTCCAAGATAGCACCTTAAGAAATAAGATAATGTATTTACCTTCTTTTTTCTTGTTTGCTTGCTCTATTGCTTCCAAGACCCTGTACTTTCCTTCCATGTAAATTGACATCACTTTCTTCTTCAAGAATTGGCTAAGAATCCCCTTTGGGGTAGGCTAATTTGTAAGATGACCCCCCCACCCCCAGCCTGACCCCTAACTCATAGTGTTCATGCCTTTATGTAATCCCCTCTCATTGAAAGTAGGTTGAAGCTAGTGATTTACCATGCATTGGCAAAAGTAATGGGATTATTAGTGTGGCTCAAATGATGGGGTGTCACTTCCATATAAAGTTAGAAACAATTGTGATAGACATCTCGCAAATAGATTCTTTTTTGTCTTCTATTTTTGTCTTCTATTTCAATGAAGCGAGCTGCCATGTCATACAGGTCCATGCAGCAAGGAACCAAGGGCAGTCTCCAGCCAACAGTGAAGAACTGATGCCCTCAGTTCAACAGTGCCCACAGAAATGAATTCTGCCAACGACCACAAGACTTTGAAAGTGACTCTTCCACCCAATAGAGTTTTCAGGTAAGATTGCATTCCTGGGCTAACACCCTGAATGCAGCTTTGAAAGGAATCTTGAAACAGAAGGTCCTGTTAAGCCAGGTTTGAATTCCTGGCCCAATGAAATGATATGATACGATATGTAGGATGTTTTAAGCTACTAAGTTTGGGAGTTATTTGTTATGCAGCCATAGATTACTAATACACCTCCTTTCCTGGCAGCTCCCCTATACCTTGTTTTATGCAGGCATCTGTAAAGCTCTGTTTTTCTATTTAGAACAGAGTTCTCATTATGTTTGTCTTTGTTTTCTCTTCTGCACTGAGCTCATTGATGGCAATGACTTGATTTATCTCCCAGCAATGCACCTGGCTCAACAATAATTGTGTGTTAAGTAATGAACATTAATTCAATAGCCCTCTTTGCTCCCACTGCTCTCCACCAATCACATGCAATTGGTGCCATTAAGGCAAAAGAAGATGGTTTGCCTCCAACCATCTCAGGTAACTGCTGTAACTCTTCCTGTGCCCTTGCTCTCTTATCAGTTTGAGTAGCATAGTCTGGCTAATGTGAGAAGAGCAGTTTTCAGATACACTGTGCGCTAGATATTGGGATCCAATGTATAAATGAGGAAATTAATATATTGCAGAGTTGTATAGCTGACAATTAGCAGAGTCAAAGTTAGTATCTAAATATATCTTATTTCCAACTCAATGCAAATCTCTAGTCACAGTTGTGCCATTCTGCATGACCATGGACATAGTTTCCCACCTCTAAGATAAACTGTCAAAATGAGAATAATAACAAAGAAATGCTAATTGAAAATATTTTTTGATGATAGGCATTCTAAGCCCTTTCAATGTATTTCTCATGAAATGCTTACAAAAACTACAACAGGCAGATGTTATTATCTCCATTTTACAGATGAAAAAACTAAGCCAAGAAAAAGATTAAATAACTTGCTCAAGGTCATCCCCCTTGAGCAAGAATTCAATGGAGTCTATAAATTAGCTTATTTTGAGGGGATGTGGTTCATCACAGGTAACTTTGATTTGCTCCTAAAGGGGAGAATGACAGACCATCACTCACCTGTATTTGAATCCTAGGTTTACAAGACGTTAATTTGGAGATCCATTTCTCTTTTGTTAATGAGCAGTTTTTCTCTGGAGAGAGGACCCTTTCTGTTGTGAATCCGCACTGCAATAGAGGAACTCTAATTAAGTCTATGCAAAGGACATAAAAGAGAGAAATAATGAGAAGCTGGAATTTAGAAAGACAAAACTCTGATAGCAACCTTGAACACAATTTGGTCATCATTTGTCCCTTCTTTTTAGCATCTGTGGCTCTGAGCAATGGAAAGATAGAAAACATAAGAAAATTTTTGGGAGAAGAAAGCTTAATTGGAAGATTTTCTCAATTGGGGCACAGGCCATTATGTTAACTCCCAATTTATTCATGAAGAATTTATAAACTTTATTTTATTTTTTTATCAGTTGCAATTGCCGCAGGGAGTCAAAGATTTACGCAGGCCTATGAAAAGGAGTATCTTGCTGCTCTGCCCACTACCTGCTCCCCGCCCTCAGGCCCCCCACCCCCCGCCCCCAGGGCTACATCTTTAAAAACCTTTCAGCCGATTCTCTTGATATTTACCTACATATCTCCAAATAACCTGCTCAAACTACTACCACTTGATTATTTCAGTTTAGGCATTGTTCAGGAGAAGGGTTTGTCACTGGCATTTTATATGTCAAGTTAACATTTCCTTTCAGACATTTCCTCAGAATAAAAAAAAAAGGGTAATAGTTCCCATACACACTAGGTGCATACATATTTATTCAAAGGACCTTGAGATAGGGAGAGAGAAGAGCTATTGCAGTAAACATGGTAGGGGAAATATTCGTCATTACTTTGAAATGCAACATGCAAACTAAAGCAGGTTAGAGATGTCCTTAAAATTTAATATATTAGCAAAATGAAAGTTTTTAAAAAGCATCCAGTATTAGTTTGGGTGGTATAAGTTAAGAACCACATGCTTCTAGGTTCTCCTTTTGAAAATCAGTATGACAATAGATATTAAGAGCCATGAAAATGGTCATAACATTCCAGGAATACTCTACTTCTGTTAATTTATCCTAAGGAATAATGCAAGCAAAGGAAAAAAAACCTATAAATACACCCACATGTTCCTTGTACTTTTAACTATGAAAGAGAAAGAGTGATATGTGAGAACAGAGACAGAGACAGAGTTAAATACAGTGTTTCTTACGTTCGATGGATTTTTATTATTATCATTATCTCATTCAAAGTGAGCAATAAGAGAAACATTCATGATGTTCTGTTTACTGAACATAATTAAACAAACAATGGGATGGATTCTCCTATTTTAACTGTCGATAAACAGGAGCAGTGGCTACCATTGGAGAGACGTGGGATTTAGAAAAGGATGAACTGATTTGAAGTCTGTGTCTTTCATTTGCAAGTGTGAATGCTTGAGTTTTTAAAATAAAACACTTCTCTGTGTTTGGATTATTGCATCTATAAAGTAGAAGAAAATATCAATCTTTTAGTATTGATATTAATACTAGAGAAAAATACATACATATATATGCAATTAACAGCTAATATAGTACCCAACATATTCTAGTATGGCCCTAATAGATGTTTACTAGTATTGCTTACATATGGACCAAAAGCAGAAGGCAATATTGAGGAGGTGGGGAGCAATGTTACGGAGATGGACTTATGGCCTCTTAAAAATTTTATATATACGTAGTTTTATATAAACTTGGTTATTTATATACAGTATATGAATATATGTGTGTTATAGTATATTTATACACAGTAATTAAAATTTTGTATAATTTCAATCATTATGACATCGCTTGCTCTCTCTCTCTCTATATATATATATATTATTTGCTATATTATGAGTTTGCGTGCATATTAATTCAGTGAAATCACACAGAGTGGCTTTGTCAGTAGGGAGGTCCATGTTTCTGCAGGTGCCATAATGTAATAAGCCCAGAGTGAAGAGAAGGCAGGGTGGGGAGCCTTGGTCTGCTTACACCTCTGTTCTCTTTTGATTGCCCTTGGCTTTCCCAGCTCTTTGTTCTCCTGTGGGCAATTGCTCCTGGAACTGGTGCATTCCTGCTAAATGGCATTTTAACCCTGGTATTCCCACCACTCTATGCTATTTCCTTAACTGACATTTGCATGGCAGATGGCGCAAATGGCCTAGCAAATATATACTGGGTCACTGTTAAAAAACTGCCAGACTGATGGCTTTGTTGGCTGTGTGCCTCCAAGCAGACACACGACTGGAGATTGCATAGAGGCTCAATTTTCCAGACCAACTTGTGGGCTTTCTGTGCCTCCCTTGCTCTGGGCAATCAGTAGAACAGGTGAAGATGGGGCTAGTCTGATTGGCTTCACTTTTAAATAGACATTGACGTGGGCAGATGGATTGGCACACAATGTAATGGACTGGGAGCTAAATCTTTCTACTTCTAATCCTGCCTGCATCAGATTTGCTCAGGGATGGAAGCCAAAATATTAACCTGTTCATTTCCAGAGTGCTCCATAGGACAATATTCAATTTCTCTCAAGGAGTGTCATGAAGGTTGATTTGGAAAGATAGCCCAACATTTTATCTAGGTGGTTGAAGAAGTCTTGTTGACTTAATACAGCTTAATCCCCATCTCCTCCTGGGGAAGATCAAAACATAGACTTGACTTTACTCTTCTTGGTCCCTTAGGAGTTTCTTCTCTATAGCACAAATAATTCTGTGCTTTCGATCTTCTCAACTAGACAGTAAACTCCTTGGTATGAGACACCAAATTCCATACATATTTTTCTTCCTTTTTCCAGTTAGTGGGATCTTTTGCCAAAGCTACTGATCAGTGCCTGGTAAATGTTCATAGAACAAGTACTGCTGGTCTGATTTTGTAATGCAGAAACGGTCAGTCCTGCTCTTAAAGGGGGTCCAGCCTTACCTTTTGTGAATTTGTGGTGATAGCTCTATCAAAGTTGAGGTATTATTATCTCAATAGAGAGGATGGAAAATGATGGGATAGATAGGTAAGATTTTACCTGGACCATTCCCTGCTCTACATCTACTAAGCCACATTCCTCATATCCATGACCCTGGAATGTCCTATACAAATGGCCCTGAGTCCACTTCCAGAACTTTCATGGGCCTCTTTCAAGGGAAGACCTTCTTTTCTGTTCTCCCTAAGGAAGACTACACAGCTAGTCTTTGCTTCTTTGGCTTGGAGGGTATGTGCTGTATAGTTTTTTGCAGGGAGAAGCAAGAGGTAGAACCGGAGCTTGAGAATGTGAGCTGGGTGAACCCAAGAGTGCATGCTGGCCCTCACTGTGCAAGATGGGGTTGGGACTGAAAGTTGACATCTTAAAGGGAAGGGAAGGTGGGTGAATAGGAAAGCTGGGCACTGATGTTCCCTGTATTGCCATGGGTGGCCTAATACAAGATGATCCAGGAGTTCTATTTGAACTTGGCTTTCCATTTTCCAGACTACACAGAACTATATGACAAAGTATAGTTGTCAAAGTAGAGAGAGTGAATGTGCTTTATTTCACATGTGTTAGCTTGATTTATAAGTTTTACATCTGTGGACACAGGGTAGGGGGCTACCATACACACGCTCACCCTTGAGTCATGCAAATTTTAAGGACAGGTTGAGGTCAATGAGTTCAATGTGAAAAATAGTGTTGGGATAAGAAGATAATGTCAATCTCTATAACTTTTCAATTTATTTAAACTTCCCATACATAGGCACCTTTGAATGTAGTAAATGATAGAAAAGAAGGTAACAAAATCTCTACTCTAAGCTTGTCTTACAAGGGATACTGTCTGCATTTAAACTAGAAACCACATTAAGTCAATCCAATATTGGGGTGGCAGCTAAGTTAGGGAAGAATCTGAATTACAGAATAGTTTGAAAAACAACCTATAATCAAGAAGACTGATGATGAACTAAGTATTGCTAAGTTGAAGTCCTATGGGTCTCCTTCAGTAAAAAGATAATTAGCTCATTAATGGCTCTGAGTGAAATGAAATGAAAGCACTTGAAAATAATATTTTCTAAAAGTGCCTGAACATTTTTCTCGTGTGCTTGTACACAGCTGATTGGTTGAGGTCATGCTATCACTGCCATTTTGTTTTCTAAGATAAGGTGAACTTCTGCCTTGTTCAAGCAAGAATAACGACCGATTCCAAAACAAGCAGGCCCAACTGGCAAGGTTTAAAGGTCTTGATGAATGTTTGTGAACAAGACAATGTAGGTAAGATTCTAGATTCAATGTGAAGTGTCCAATCTTCCCTCTGGGATACCTTTCAGAGAGAACAATCATCAAGATAATGATTATTACAATTTATGGAAACATTTTATTGTTCTTTTCCAAATGATTAAAAAAAAATCCCACTATAAGCAGGAAGAAATTAAATTCAGAGGGAAAACAAGAACTTTATAGGCCATCTGCTCCGACTTTCAAATTTAAATTTTATACATAAGAGCACATTAGCTGTGGGGGAAAAAATGTGATCACATTTTGTGGCCGCCTGAGCAATGAAGAAATGTCCCTCTTCGGGCCTTCTGCATGGAAATAAAAGGAGCTGTTTTGGTGAAGAAAATGAAATGGCTTCGGTTAGGGGGAAATTTGCTATTCACCATTTTATATTTATGGAGTGCTGAACTTAACACCCTCATCCTTTATAAAATATGAAGTAAGGGACCACACTTAGGGGGTCCACAGGTGCCCTTATACAAACTGCATTCCAGAGCACCTCACAAGGAGGAAACTGAGCCCCTGGCAGCGGGTGAGTGGGATGAGTCTGTGGCTGCATGGGTGGATTCACGGCAACAGAGGGCCACAGACACATGAAGGAGAAGCTGCTCCTCTGTACCCCTCCCCTGAGCCCAGGAGATGAGCCCCAACTTATCGTCTGGCTCTATACGCATGTGCCTTCAGGAATCTGCTTTCTCATGAGGGGACGGAATGGTGGATGAAGCTGCCAGCAAGAGTCAGAGATCACACAGCCGAGGACAACGGGTGACCGCAGCGCTGCACACTCTGGTCGCTGGCACCCTGCCAGCCGTGGCTGGTGGCCTCCTCCTGCCTGGGACCAGTCAGGCGGTGTTTGATTAGGTCAGGCTGCTCCTGCTGCCTCCAGCCTACCT